ATACCAGGATGAGAGCAGCCCTCACAGTTGAGAAGCGAGTGGCGATAGCCCTGTGGAGGCTTGCAACGCCAGACAGCTACCGGTCAGTCGGGAATCAATTTGGAGTGGGTAAATCTACTGTGGGGGTTGCTGTGATCCAAGTTGCCAGGGCAATGAAAGACCTGGTGATATCAAGGGTAGTGACTCTGGGAAACGTGCAGGCCATAGTGGATAGCTTTGCTGCAATGGGATTCCCAAACTGTGGTGGGGCCATAGACGGAACCCAGATCCCTATCTTGGCACCGGAGCACCAAGCCACTGAGTACATAAACCGCAAGGGGTACTTTTCAGTGCTGCTGCAAGCCCTGGTGGATCACAAGGGACGTTTCACCAACATCAACGTGGGATGGCCGGGAAAGGTACATGATGCTCGCGTCTTCAGGCACTCTGCTCTGTTTCGAAAGCTGGAGGAAGGGACTTTCTTCCCGGACCAGAAAATAACCGTTGGGGATGTTGAAATGCCTATCGTGATCCTTGGGGACCCAGCCTACCCCTTAATGCCATGGTTCATGAAGCCGTACACAGGCAGCCTGGACAGGAGTCAGGATCTGTTCAACTACAGGCTGAGCAAGTGCCGAATGGTGGTGGAATGTGCATTTGGATGTTTAAAAGCACGCTGGCGCAGCTTACTGACTCGCTCAGACCTTAGCGAAAAGAATATCCCCATTGTTATTGCTGCTTGCTGTGCGCTCCACAATATCTGTGAGAGTAAGGGGGAGACATTTATGGCGGGGTGGGAGGTTGAGGCAAATCGCCTGGCCGCTGATTACGCGCAGCCAGACACCAGGGCGGTTAGAGGAGCACAGCATGGCGCGGTGCGCATCAGAGAAGCTTTGAAAACGAGTTTTGTGACTGGCCAGGCTACGGTGTGAAACTTCTGTTTGTTTCTCCTTGATGAACCCTCCGCCTCCCCCCACCCGGTTCACTCTACTTCCCTGTAAGCCAACCACCCCACCCTCCCCTTCCCCCTTTGAGCACCGCTTGCAGAGGCAATAAAGTCATTGTTACTTCACATTCATGCATTCTTTATTAATTCAGCACACAACTAGGGGGATAATTGCAAAGGTAGCCCGGGATGGGTGGGGGAGGAGGGAAGGAAAAGGACACACTGCAGTTTAAAACTTTAACTCTTATTGAAGGCCAGCCTTCTGATGCTAGGGCAATCATCTGGGGTGGAGTGACTGGGTGGCCGGAGGCCCCCCCACCGTGTTCTTGGGGGTCTGGGTGAGGAGACTATGGAACTTGGGGAGGAGGGCTGTTGGTTACACAGGGGCTGTAGCGGCGGTCTCTGCTCCTGCTGCCTTTCCTGCAGCTCAACCATACGCTAGAGCATATCAGTTTGATGCTCCAGCAGCCGGAGCATTGACTCTTGCCTTCTGTCTGCAAGCTGACGCCACCTATCATTTTCAGCCCGCAACTTGCTCTGTTCATCCCGCGATTCAGCACGCCACCTCTCCTCTCGTTCATATTATGCTTTTCTGTAATCAGTCATTGACTGCCTCCACGCATTCTGCTGTGCTCTGTCAGCGTGGGAGGACATCTGTAGCTCTGTGAACATGTCATCACGCGTCCTACGTTTTCTCTTTCTAATCTTCACTAGCCTCTGTGAAGGAGAAACATTTGCAGCTGGTGGTGGAGAAGGGAGAGGTGGTTAAAAAAGACATTTTAGAGAACAATGGGTACACTCTTTCACGTTACATTTTGCTGTTAACATTACACAGCACATGTGCTTTCGTTACAAGGTCGCATTTTTCCTCTTATATTGAGGGCCTGCCGGTTTGGTGTGAGAGATCACTCATGCAGTGCCAGGCCACAGATTTCAGCTTGCAGGCAGCCATGGTAAGACACAGTCTTTTGGCTTTTTTAACCTTCTTAACATGTGGGAATGGTTTCAAACAGTAGTGCTCTCATTTCCCATACCAAGCACTCGTTGGGTTGGCCATTTAAAATGGGTTTGCAATGTAAAAGGAGGGGCTGCGGTTTCAGGGTTAACATGCAGCACAAACCCAACTAACTCCCCTCCCCCACACACCCAATTCTCTGGGATGATCACTTCACCCCTCCCCCCCACCGCGTGGCTAACAGCGGGGAATATTTCTGTTCAGCAGAGCAGGAACGGGCACCTCTGAATGTCCCCTTAATAAAATTGCCCCATTTCAACCAGGTGACCGTGAATGATATCACTCTCCTGAGGATAACAAAGAGCGATAAGGAATGGATGTTGTCTGCATGCCAGCAAACACCGGGACCATACGCTGCCATGCTTTGTTATGCAATGATTCCAGACTACGTGCTACTGGCCTGGCGTGGTAAAGTGTCCTACCATGGCGGACGGGGTAAGGCAGCCCTCCCCAGAAACCTTTTGCAAAGGCTTTGGGAGTACATCCAGGAGAGTTTTCTGGAGATGTCCCTGGAGGATTTCCGCTCCATCCCCATACACGTTAACAGACTTTTCCAGTAGCTGTACTGGCCGCGATTGCCAGGGCAAATTAATCATTAATCATTAAACACGCTTGCTTTTAAACCATGTGTAATATTTACAAAGGTACACTCACCAGAGGTCCCCTGTGTGCCCTCAGGGTCTGGGAGCACGCCTTGGGTGAGTTCGGGGGTTACTGGTTCCAGGTCCAGGGTGATAAACATATCCTGGCTGTTGGGGAAACCGGTTTCTCCGCTTCCTTGCGGCTGTGAGCTATCTACATTTTCTCCATCCTCATCTTCCTCGTACCCCGAACCCGCTTCCCTGTGTGTTTCTCCAGGGAGGGAGTCATAGCACACGGTTGGGGTAGTGGTGGCTGCACCCCCTAGAATGGCATGCAGCGCCGCGTAGAAGCGGCATGTTTGCGGCTCTGCCCCGGACCTTCCGTTTGCTTCTCTGGCTTTGTGGTAGGCTTGCCTTAGCTCCTTAATTTTCACCTGGCACTGCTGTGCGTCCCTGTTATGGCCTCTGTCCTTCATGGCCTTGGAGACCTTTTCTAATATTTTGCCATTTCGTTTACTGCTTCAGAGTTCAGCCAGCAGTGATTCGTCTCCCCATATGGCGAGCAGATCCCGTACCTCCCGTTCTGTCCATGCTGGAGCTCTTTTGCGATCCTGGGACTCCATCATGGTTACCTGTGCTGATGAGCTCTGCGTGGTCACCTGTGCTCTCCACGCTGAGCAAACAGGAAATGAAATTCAAACGTTCGCGGGGCTTTTCCTGTCTACCTGGCCAGTGCATCTGAGTTGAGAGTGCTGTCCAGAGCGGTCACAATGAAGCACTGTGGGATAGCTCCCAGAGGCCAATAACGTCGAATTCCGTCCACACTACCCCAATTCCGACCCCCTAAGGCCGATTTTATCACTAATCCCCTCGTCGGAGGTGGAGTAAAGAAACCGGTTTAAAGGGCCCTTTAAGTCGAAAGAAAGGGCTTCGTCATGTGAACATGTCCAGGCTTAATTCGATTTAACGCGGCTAAAGTCGACCTAAACTCGTAGTGTAGACCAGGCCTGAGCAAGGTGCTAAGCTGCTGGTGCAGTGCGTGCCCTAGGCAAGGCTTCCAATCCCTTCTGATGCTGCAGGTCCAGGACTACAGGAATTGCTGATGGAGGCAGCTGAGGCCCCAGAGTTACTTCCTTTGTCATGTCCCAAACTTCAAAAATTTGGAACAGGTTTATGTTTAATGAAAACTATTATGGCTGGATGGAACCCATATGGGGCAGCTAGGCTCAGCTCGTCAACAGCTAACTATCTTTGAGGATCTCTGGATCCTAATTCCTGGCCATGCAACTGTCTTTGATGCAGGGTTCTACCCCAAAGACTTCTCCAATAGATGATCCATCAGCCAAGGGTTGAGGACGTCAAGCGATTTGATTCCACCTCTTGGGTTTGGAAGTTGGTTCAAGTGCCTGGTTGATTTTGTGGTTAATATAAATCCTTCACTTGTGGTTATCAGTGTCAAATAATTAAGGCTATGTTTATGTCACGGAGGTCCTGGAAGTCATGGATTTTGTGACTTCCAGAGACCTCCCTACAGTCTCTGCTTCAGCCCTAGGGGCTGCAGGACTCTGGAGCAGACAGCCAGCGGGGCCCTGGCAGGGTTCCAGCAACAGGCAACAGCAGTGACAAACGACAAGGGGCCCCCTGCAAAGTTCCAGTGATAGATGACAGACTCCTGAGGGGCCCAATGGGCAACAGCCTCATGTGGGGATGGGGGACGCCTTGGGTAAGCGGCTGGGGTGTCCCGTTTTCTCTTTGGGAAATATGGTCACTCTGTAAATATCTCCATATCAGACTTGTTCGGTTCACAAGTAAAATGATGTTTTTTCTGTCAGTTCTGCACACAACCTGGGATCTGAAAATCAAGCTCAGTCCTCAATAACTAAGATTTTGCAACTGAAATCGAGTTACCAATTCTGTTGATGATGCACATGCTAGAATAAAATCCAGCGCCCTCTGACCACACACTGAGCTAACAGAAGTAAAATGACAAAAATATGATACTTTGCTTTTAAACACCCAAAGGGCTGACCTCGAGTGAGGAAGCAGGTGCTAATTTTGACGTGTGAGTGTAGCCGCATTTTGGCTCAGATTCAGCAAATCATTTAAGCCTGATCTTAAGTATGTGATTAAGTCTCATTCAATTAAGCATTTGCTTATGTGCTTTGCTGAATTGGGCCTCGGAGATGACAGTGTAATGTGTGACACTATTAAAGTAAACCAGTTCATATTGATTATGAAATAAATTCTGCTCTCTCATTAGGCCTGTGAAATTCCCATCCTTCTTGCATGATCTTTGAGGTATTTGGGGTTGAAAGATGCTATAAAAATGTAAACCACTCAAGAGACATCTATGCTTGATACTGTTATAATGTGTAATATCTGTGCAAACAAAAGCTTTCTAAATTTGCTACAATTCACAACCAGTTTGTTAGAAAAGTGCCTGAGCACTGCTTATATGCACGATCAAAACAAAAAACTCTTTACTGTTTTTATTGATTATAATATAAATTCTTGACTCCAAATTCACAATTTAATATATACATTACCATAAATACAACATAAATTTTTCTCAAACATTTTATCAAATTCTAATACAAAATTATCATTTCTGAATATTTTTCTGCTAAAACTTTCAAAACACAAAGTTTATCCTGTACTGCACATTATTCTGGAAGCAAATCCTCTCCTAATTCTTCATCAGCAAACTCATCTTCATCCATTCTTTTTCTTGCTGCAGTTTTTGGTCTCTCTGTTTGTGGTCCAAGTGGATCTACATAGGAAGCATCTAGGATTCAAAAGAGTTGAAACAAAAACTTTATTTTAAAGCAATTTAGCTTGTATCAATCACACAAGACTAAAATCAAGAATTATGTGGAGCATGCTATAGATGTGCATGATGCGCATGATGCTTTACAGGACACATAAATGACACTGATTTCGTGCCCTGAAAAGTTTACCGCATTGGGATTTACTAGCTAAAACCATTATACCCAAGTGCAGTCTCACTGAAGTCAATGAGATTCTGCATGGGTGTAAGAGTCTATGCAGGTTTGGGTTCTACATTACCCCATTACAGAACAGGAGGAAGAGAACAATAGTGGTCATGCATATGTTCTGGTGGCTAGAGTTTCCTTTTCAAAATTATTTCTATTGCTTTATTACAACTATATAGTTAATATGCAAGACTTAGAGAAATAGGTTTTAGGAAGGAGCTTGGCAGAGGAGGAATGGTGGATGGGTTCAGTAAGAGAATTCCAGGCATTAATGAATTTCAATGGGATTGAGGTGCCTATCTCCCTTAGGCTCTTTTGAAAAGCTCCCCTTAATAAAATAAGAATGTGTGATTGTAAAAGTACAAAAACTGGCAGAGGATTGCAGTGAGCAGATTCGGTAGTTTAAATCACTTTTTAAAATGGATATGTCCCTTTGACAACATACAAGCATAAGTTAATGATTTTATGGTAGACCTGGGAACAAAGAAGCTATAACTATTTTTCATCCATGTTTCATGATGAAAATGCTTCCACAATTTGTGCAATTTAATATGATTTTCAGCAATTATTTTTCTCATTCCATTTGTCTAGGCAAGATGGAGCAACTCAGAAGGTACCACAGTCCACTTGCCTATTTCTTTATTACCGCTGCTTTCATAAGGCTCATTTGTTCCAGGCAAAGCCCTTAGCTTGGCACTTAGTCGTTCCCCCTTAGCACTACCGCCACTATCTGGAAAAAAAAAAAAAGAGAAAAACCACAATAAAACACTGTCGCATACTTCATGAAAGCAAGATAGGCAATTGAAATTGGACTAATTTGCATTAAATAATTTTTTTATATCTTATGCCATTATTTTCCTGATGGCCATCATATTGAATTTTAATACAGATTTCTAAAAAATATGACCTCTGTGATCTGTGTATGTGTGTCAAAATACACAGTGCCACTCATGCTCTGGGATAATTAAACTTTTATTTTACATCTTTTTAGCTTCAAATTCTAACATCTTAAAACCTCTATTAAAATTAAGGAAAAGTAATATTTGAGGGTTTAAATAGATTACAACATGTGGTTCCTACAAACAATGCCTGTTTTACAATGCATACAAACATTTCAGACATGTATATCTATTCATATATTGGTGTGATCCACCTGTCAGACAGTATCAGTCTTAAATCCAGAACACTTACTTTGCCTTTCATTAGTAAAGTCTGAGTGGCATGTGCTGTTGGCATGGCAGTGAGGCACAGTTCATACATACAGTACATCTTGGCTCTGCATCTTGCTGTAAACATTCTATTCACAGCTCAGTTTGCAATGGGCCCCCTGGAATGTGACTGTTCTGATGGCTGCCTAGTATCCAGACACTGTCAGATTAACATTCTATTACCACAGCAGTATTCCAGACCCTCTAAATGGTCTATTCACAGGGCAGCCTTGAATCTTTTTCACAGTTTATAGGAAGCTTTCAATTTTGTCTGCTGGAACAATTTGTGATTTAATATTTTGCTTCCTGGGGAAAATGTCCCTTGTTTTGGATTGGTGTATTTACAGAGCATCTTAAGCCATGCAGCCAAACATAAATATACTTCTTTGCAACATGCAACAATGCTGTTATTAGAAATGTTCCCAGCTGAAAGGGAACAGGCAAAGGGTATGAAGTCAGGAGATGGCTACAAATTGTAATTCCCATATTTATTACAAATATTGTTAATAAATTGTTATAATTTTTACAAATGTATTCTTCCCCAAGGAAGACAAATATTTATTTTACTCTAATATTATTGCTGAGTGCAGCATGCTCAGCCATTCACAAGCCTTACAGGAGGACATTGCTTCTGCTCCAAGGAACATATAGAATCATAGAATCATAGATTATTAGGGTTGGAAGGGACCTCAGGAGAGGGTTTATTATTTATCTATCTTTGGTGGATTATTATCAGAAAGCTTCATGGATGAAATGTGTTTTAAGGAGGGATTTGAATAAACAGAAATCAATTGGGAGACAAGGGGCCTGATCCAAAGCTCAGTGAAGTCTCTTATTAACTACAATGTGCTTTGGACAAGACCCAGGGGCCAGGAAGCGAGTAGCAAGCTGGAAGAAGTATGGAAGAAGGTGTGAAGATGAGAATCGGAGGAGGATTAAAAAGGGTCTGCAGGGAGAGTGAGAGAATAGGTAGGATCTGTGCACGTAGGTGTTACAATAATACAAATAATAAAACCTTAGGACTCTGAAGACAGTAAGTTTGCACTTGATGATGAAAGTGACAGGAAAGGAAGGGATTTGAAGGGATATGAAGAAGGGAATCACATGGCTGGGATTGCCAGAGAGGAAGACTACTAATGGCAGCAATTGAATAGATTTAATAGGTTAGTTTCAGAGAGAAGGAGGTTCCTGAAACCAAGATAAAGAAAATCAAGGTAGCATGTGAAAGGGTTCTGACAGTTATAAGGAAGAGAGAAGCACATAATTTAGAGATATTGCAAAGAAGCAGCAGCAGGGTTTGACATAAACAGAAAAGCAGGAGAAGAGCTGAACATAAATAGGAAAACCAGAAATGCAGACAAACAGACTATAAATAAACTGAAGACTTGAAGAGCTCTGTGTCGCTCAAAAACTTGTCTCTTTCACCAGCAGAAGTTGTCTAATGAAAGATATTACCTCACATACCTTGTGTCTCTCATAAATAACCATCCACTGTACTTTAGTACCCTAAATTGAGCAATTTTAACTATGAGGCCTCTTGGACTGAATCCTAAGGTCCTTACGTAGATTTTACTTAGTCCTTACTCAGGCAATATTCTCATGAAATTAAGTTAATGGGACTTGTGACTGAATAAAAAAAATTGGGAAATCCACATCTACTCTAACACAAGAAACCACTTTTTTCTGACAAAACAAAACTAGCAGACTGGAAAAAAATGAAGGTTTTTCTGAAGTGAAATACATGTGATTTGCTTTGTCTGCATATTTACTCCTTACACATAAAATAGCACCCATATAAAATACAGTTCATTCTACTACCTAGTTAGACCTACCACTCTTTTGTATCTGCCTTTAAATACTGATACACTTTTACCAAGTTATTTGCTTTTTCAGCACCTAGCCCAGGGATCGGCAACCTTTGGCATGCGGCTCGCCAGGGTAAGCACCCTGGCGGGCCGGGCCGGATTGTTTACCTGCCGTGTCCACAGGTTTGGCCGATCGCGGCTCCCACTGGCCGCGGTTCACTGCTCCAGGCCAATGGAGGCTGCGGGAAGCGGCGCGGGCCGAGGGATGTGCTGGCTGCTGCTACCCGTCACCCCCATTGGCCTGAAGCGACAAACCACGGCCAGTGGGAGCCGCAATCGGCCGAACCTGCGGACGCGGCAGGTAAACAAACCGGCCCAGCCCGCCAGGGTGCTTACCCTGGTGAGCTGTGTGCCAAAGGTTGCCGATACCTGACCTAGCCTATTACCAAGTTTCAACCAAACCAATCTGAATTTGCTGAAGATGTGCTCTGTTGATGCTGAGCTGGCTGGACAGAAGTGGAGGTCTGTTAATCATTGATATAATTCTGAAATCAACTGTCCTGTCTTCCATAAGTTTACTTCCATAACTAATATGCTCACCTTCCAGACCAACAACCTCCCAATTAGCAATGACTCCACCCATTCTTTTTCCCTTCTGGGCTTCTAGACATTTTTTCCCCCGTTTGTTTCTTAATAGGCATAAAAAGACCCATTCTTTTGTTTTCATCATTTCCCTTTTAACTATTTAAAATAAAGTTTTCACTCAGAGATTGAAATTAGAGCTTGATTTAAAAACTTTCAAATGAATGCTATATTTATATAAATACTTTAGAGTGACATACAAGTTCAGAAAAAGAACACTTCCCAAAAACTCTGCTGGGTTGGGTTTTTTTCTGGAAAAAACTGAGTAAGGACCTGAGGATTTAGATCTCTATGCTAAAAGGGTGCATATCCACGTTCAAAACATAAAAAAAAAAAATCCCACAAGATGGAATAAGCCTGGCTGTAAAACCCATAAAACAATGTAGAACACTTTTTTGTATCTTCTATATAAGTAGTACAACACAAAATAACAGTGTTCACCTCTCATTGATTTTTTTCAGTCTTAAAAACATCATATTTAATGAGCTACCAGAGTCAAACCAACCAACAAACTGATCCTTTTGCTTTTGCTCAAGCAAAATTCCCATATCCTTGGGGGTTATGAATAGAGATTGAGAGGAAAAGCCGCTCCTACTTATCACTAAGGTAATCTTTGCTTTTGGGAGGTGTTAAACCCTAGCAAGGGATGCATGACTTGGCCGTCACTGGGTAGTAATTAATAATCTTGCTGACTGAGAGCTTTATAAATACAATTGGTAAGTAGTGAAAACTTCTGTCATAAAATTTTACATTTTGCAGTTCTCTTTGCATATAAATATTTTATATATTTTTTTACTCTCTCTAAATGTGTAATTTGGCCAACTCCATGGAACTTAATTTTGCAACGTAGACTGTAGGATCTTGGGACCCCACACTGGACGGAAGAATTTCAAAGGAAGACCTGGCTTTTAATGCATTTTAGCACAAATGTGCATACTTTACAGAGATGAGATTTCTAGTCTGATAGTGAACAGAAAATCTGGTTTGCTTTAATATGCATTCCTCACTTGTGGGTTATAGAAATAACACCAAATTTCACCCAAAATGGCCACTGATTGTCTGCCTGTCTAGCCAAGGAAAAAAGGAAACGGCTGTAAAATTAAATAAAAATGTGTTATTAAAAATGCATCACCAGTGATTAAAGAATAATTTACACAGAGCTTTGAACACGTCTGCGAAAGGACTGCACCTATTTTCAGGGAAAAGACAGCTGCCAAAATGGGAGGAAAGAGAGAGATCATGCAGAGAAAGTCAAAAGAAACCGAAAGCAGGACAAGTTCACACACCTGTTATAACCGCTGGGTTGGCAGGAGGCACGTATAAAGAAAGAAAAATATAAAGATAACGTTAAGACAAAGGATGACAATGGAAACTCTATGGAAGCAAGGAATTTCTGTAGAGGTTTTATCTGCTACGGTATAGATTCTGAGTTATAGTAATTGTTGGAAAGACTAAACAAGCACTTGCAGTAAAGATCCACTGCAAACATTTCTCAGACTGCAAATAAGTTCTGCCTACATTATTCTAGAAACAGTACAAATAGTAAGAAGAGCAATTTTATCATTTACTTTTAAAATAATAAGAGTTACTGTCCATAATGAAAACAATATTCTATGCAGTCACAAAATTTTAGTCAATTACACTTTATTTATTTAACAATGGCACATATAGTGAGGAGTTGAACTAGCTCTTTGTGTCAGTGACTAACTTCCAGTGCAAGTAAAGTGACTTTAATCTGCAAAGGAGCAATTTATCATTCTCTATTAAAAAGCCATTACTACATCATCACCGTAATTAGTCTAGCAGGGCCATTCACACTGTATTGATTTTTGGTCCATCCAAAATGCCAATAGACCAATACAATATTAATTGAAGGAATGTTTTTCTTTGGTTTAAAGAACCAAAAAATAAAAAACCTTTAAAAGAATTTGAGTACAAAAAGCAGGTTAAGATATTTTATAAATTTGATTTAAAAATTATATTTAATCACGAAAAGCAAGTAAACTTGGAATTATGGCTACCACACTCATAATCTCCCTTGCTTCTCCTCTCAATCTGTGTGCATAATGGTTAAT